TAAAGACATACACTAACAAATATAACGATTATTTAAAACAACCAAGTAATACGGTTTAAAAGAGCTGTGTGTAAACACGAACTGGAGGTTTAGCGGCGGTAAAGGGGCACCAGAAGCCTTGGCCGCTTTCTCTGCTTCCTAAATTTTGAACAGCGTTTTCAAAATGTTGAGAGACGAGAGACAGATGTTAGGCAGACAGACAGAGATATTGTGTGGGACCCAGGGGTCATTTTGTAGAAAAAGAGGTGCAGGAGCTCATTAGCGTAACTAATTTGCATATGCCACGCCCCCTGACATCACTGGAAGTGTGTCAGGAGGCAACACCCACCGCTCAGGCTCCACTGGACTGTTTTGGATTGCTAGCTATGGGGGGGGGGGACCTGCAGATCTGTCCTCGCAGAGGAGGGAGAGCTTGTACCTGAATAAAACCTGGTCTTAAAGGTGCCACTGGACTGTTTTGGACCGGGGGCCGGGGAGCTCTGCAAGTTACCTGGCTGCTTCTTGCTCTGACTGAGGGCTGCTGGGAGCAGGGGGCGGGGCTTGTTGCATGTGCCCGCCCCTGGGCTCCTTACTGCCGGAGCTCCGCTCCTGTGCGCTCCCGCAGGAAATGACCCCTGGTGGGACCAAAAGCAGCTCCAAACAATGCTCCCTCTAAGTTGTGGAGTCCTGTGAGCGAAAATCCCACTTTGTGAGCAAGCGATTTGGCTGCCGCATAAATTAGTTTGCTTGGGAGCCATCCTTCTTGAGCGAAGACAAAAAAAGTGTGAGCTGGAGGCTAAAAAACTGTGAGCTCACTCACACTAACTCAGTTTAGGGGTAACACTGGCTCCAACTGCCCCTGTGTAAAGTTTCTGTTTTCTGGTCCATATCCCTGATAAAGCTGCCCCTAACTGTGCACCACTGGGGGGGGCACATTAAATTCTTGTTGTTTGTTCCTTAGGCATTTAAAACATTTATTAGCCACCTTTCTTCGATACGGAGCTTGAGGCAGCTTATAATACAGAATACATAAAATAAAAGACATAAAATCCATTAAAAAAAAACGACACCCAAATTTAAAACCGCAGTTTAGGATCGCTAATAAATTAACCAAATACAGTCCTAGATAAAACTGTCTTCAGCTGCCTCCTTAGGATTGGAAGTGTGGAGGGCCAGGCGCACCCTGTGGAGGTTGTTCCACAATCATGGGGCTACCACTGAAAAGGCCCTGCCTTGTGTGTCCATCAAACAAGCTTCTTTGATCAATGGGGCAGTCGGGAGGGCCCCTCTCTGTGTTCTTAATTCCCAGGCAGAGACATATAGGAGAAGTGTTAATATGAGTTTATTTATTTATTTATTGCATTTATAAGTCTTTTTTAAATTTCTTTTTAAACTAACATACAATATTCCAAACAAAACACAGTACGTCCAAATATAGAAATGTGATACAGAGTTTCAGGCCAGGTTTTACACCTGCACTGATATCCTGCCCATCCCATAAATGGGCTCAGGGCGGGTCACGACATTTCAATAAATACAATAAAATTTAAAACATATAAAATTAATCGGCATGCTTGCCGTAGGGAGAATCCGGCCCATTGATGTAACTGGGTGTGGCCGGTTATCAGTAGGTGGGAGACCGCAACCTCATGGAGGCCAAAGGCCTGGCGGGAGAGCCCCGTCTTGCAGTCCCTGTGGAATTGCGTAAGATCCCGCAGGGCCCTGATCTCGATAAGGACCATGTTCCACCAGGGTGGAAAAAGCCCTGGCCCCGGTCGAGGCTGGGTGGACGTCCTTTGGGCCAGGGATCACCAGGAGAAGTTGACTCTCAAAGCGTAGCGCTCTCCGAGGCATCTATGGGAAGAGGCAGTCCCTTAGGTCTGCCAAGCACTCCGGCGAGTACTTTGAAGGGCGACCTCCAAGGAATACCAGGGCTCGGGACGCAGAGGCAGGCTAATCAAGTCGCCTCTGTGAAAAAAACGTCCAAGCCCCCAGTAAGGGTCGCCAGAAGTCAACCATGACTTCCAGGCAAGCACACGACACCCATCCAATCAAATATTCATATATAAATATGAAAAAATAAAATCACAGGGTGCGTGACTTCCTGTTCCACATACCGCAACGGCAGATGTAGGTTCTGAACTCATTAACATATTCTAATACAAGGTTGCTGTGCTTTTCACAAACAAACCCCAAAACCTGTTCTTCATCAAAACATCTCTCTCTCCCTTGGGTCTTTAATCTGCAGGGCTCTCACAGAGTAAAGGAATGTGGGTTAAAAGAGATGGGGTAGAGTTTCCAGTTATCCCTAACGGCGGGGTTGGTGGATCCTTGGTATGGGGGGTATTGCAAGCATGCCTCTGTTTTCACCCGAGAAATGCCGGAGGAGGGCATGGTTAAGGAAGGTTTGGGCGGTGCTCCGTTTCCAAAAGCAGTGACCCAAGGGTTCTCCGGCCCGTGTGAGAATCCTGCTACTTGTCCTGATCTCTTAATTCTAATTTACAGCAGTCGCATACCGGCAACGGAAACGGACGCTCCGTTCACGCTCACAGATACCATAGTTTGCATTATTGAATTATAGTATTATCTTGTGGGGTATCCCTATTCCGATGACCCAAATACCTGCAGCTGCAAATATTTTTTTACTCTTCTTGTCTATTGGGTAATAAATGATTTCCAATAACGTCATCATCAAGCTTTTATTGGACGAAACGGAAGATAAAAAATGTGTGTGGGGGACTGAAGGAGGGAGTTGGCGGGGCTACGAGGCCATGACCACCAGTAGCTGCAAGAGACTGGTTTTCTAGACGTACCACAGTGCCGGTTTCTGCCACACGCCACCCATAACCGGAGAAGGTTCCTTTTGACTGTGCTCTTGGCCCAGTAGTTCCCATTCTCCCTCTGTGACTGACCTTTGGGATCCTGCGCCACCTCTTCTTTCATCTCCCGCTCAGAGAGATGGCATTTTAAAATATCCAAGCCGACAGGACTCGCTGCCACTTGAGAAGGATTTTATAGCCCACCAGAGTCCTCCAAACAGGCGGACAGCAGGTCCTGTGGCTACAGCGCTCACTATGGCGCAATTCTGTCCCGCTCTTCCGCTCGAGAGGGTGCGCACTAAAGCCCCCTCTTCCCATATTAGCCTCCCCACCGTCCCATGAGATGGGCAGCTACTGGTCCAAGGTCACCCGGCCGGGTTCATGGCCCAGGGAGGATTTAAACCCAGATCTTACCTGTCGTAGGGTGATGACCACACCGCACAGACGCTCCTTTCCTCAGCGTCTTTCGTCCTTGAGTCTGAGACCTTCCATTACAATGTCCTAAACTCCCCTTTACTGATGTCTGATCAAATAGGACAGGGGTCCCCAACATGGCGCCTGTGAGCACCTTTCCCAGTCCTGCTGGGTGTTTCCGGAAAGTGGGGCTTCCAACCGTCTGTGCGGATTAAAACAACATTGTTGCAGTGACAGCTGCCACACAGTGTTGGTTCGATTCTCTCACACCCGTTTATCTATTCTGTTTATTAAATTGGATTTGTTAGACCGCCCTTCCCTACAAGTTTCCTGGTGTATTTTTAAAATGACCCATCTGCTCTCCTGCACTCATGCTCCCTCTGTGTGTGTGGCGCCACCTCCTGTGGTGGCCATTTTGTGTCTGGCTCCACCTCCCGCGGCGGCCATTTTGTGTCTGGCTCCAACTCCCATGGTGGCCGTTCTGTGGTTGGCTCTACTCCCCATGGAGGCCATTTTGTGGTGGTGCCGACCACCGTGTCAGAATTTCAAAGAGACCCTCAGGCTCAAAAAAGGTTGGGGACTCCTGAGATAGGGTGAGCTTCTGAGCTGGCAACGGGCTGGGCCAACAGGAGTTGGCATTTATTTGCAACATGTATATCTCCCCTTTCTGCCCAAGCCACCCCATGGCTTCCAGTGCCTGGGTTGGATCCTGCTGATCTGTCCCGCTAACAGAGGTGGTTTCCCCGGCCACAAGAACCCCTCCCCCTGATGCAGGTGGTTCATCCATTAGGGGAAAGAAGAAGTAGAGTTGGATTTATACCCCGCCCTTCACTTGGGAGTCTCAGAGCAGCTTACAATCTTACTTCCCTTCCTCTCCCCGCAAGAGACACCCTGTGAGGTAGGTGGGGCTGAGAGAGCGCTGAGAGAACTGCCCTTGAGAGAACAGCTCTGAGAGAACTTGTGACTGACCCAAGGTCACCCAGCTGGCTGCATGTGGAGGAGGAGTAGGGAGTCGAACTTGGTTCTCCAGATTAGAGTCCGCTGCTCTTAACCACTACACCAAACTGGCTTCTTACCCAGGGGGTAAACGCCACTGTTAGTCTAACGGAACCAGAAGATCCGACTCACTTTTTAAACCTAGACTGATTTTTTTTTTAATTTGAACCCAGAATTCAATGTTCGAAAACTCCCAAGGCACTTTGGTCTGAGTTCAAATGGAAAAAAAAAAGGGGGTGTTAAAACTTATTAGAAAATACTTTGATTTGGATCAGTTTGGGTGCTTATAAAAAAAAACGCTTAAGCGTCATGCAGGTGCTAGACTTCTGCCGCCTCTTGACACATCTCCCTGCTTTCAAGAGCTCAAGTCTACACCCATTCGACGTGCTGTGGAGTCATTCCTTTTCTCAAGTGACTGACATATTTGCCTTCTTAATTAGTCTACTTGGCATGCGAGGCCGGAGCACTTTAAAACACATTCGATTCCGCCACGCCTTCTGGAATTTTAGCTTCTCTTTTTTTCCCCCTTTTTCACTTCAAGTCTAACTCTGGAACTACTGGGGAAGGTTGCTCTCACAGACAGGGACTGTTAGAGCAAAAAACCATCGCCTCTCGGCTGCTATAGCTGCTTATCTAGCTACAAACTTCTAAAACCAAGTGCCGGAGAAAAGAGGCGCACCTGTGGCAGAATTCTCACCCACAGCTTGACAAAAAATTTTTTTAAAAAAAGAAATCTCCGAGGGAAGTTTAGCAAGCGTAACCTGGTGAAACTGTCCTCTCTCTCACACACAGGGTCCCGCCTACCTTGGAACTCTGGTGGGGGGGCCCCCAGCTCAGGAGCCGATGAACCCCACCGATGAGGAAGCCACCCGGTTACACCACGAGGAGCCCCACGCAAATGCGGACTGTCAGGCCAAGAAAGGTAGGACCGCTCGCCGGCTCGCGACAGCTGCGTCTGGGTGAACGGGAGAGAAGCTGGGTTAATGTTGAGCATCGTGGCCTCTTTCTGGTTTAAAAAGATAGATCAAAGTGGGTGGCTCTTTCACGCCTTTTGTGCGGCTCCCGGCAGGGCGGCTGGGGAAGCGAAATATCATTCGCGAACAAATACCATTGGACAAATAAATATCATTATCGAGATCTGCTTTTACCGCTTTTGTTATTCGTTTCGGCAGTCTCACTTCATGTTAATAAAAAGCAAATCTGCATATTTCCCAGTAAGAAACATGTAATATTTGTTCATGTGTTGTGGCTCTCAAACATCTGACATTTTTTTTAATAACTTTATTTTTATAACGTTTTTCTGTTAACCATACAATAAACAACAATTAATACAGTACAAAATCAACGTATTTAGTAGGCAGTGCAGTCATACCCTCTTTTACATTATTTATATACTCAAAGAACACAAACCATTTCCCCAAAAATCTTGGATTTCCTATCTGGATGTTCTGCTTCTAGCGATTGTGTTGCTATTTTATCCATAACCACAATGTCCAATAGCTTTGTAAACCATTGTTTTACATTCGGAATTTTATCTAATTTCCAAACTTGTGCTATTAATGTTTTAGCTGCAATCGGCATTACAGAAATCAGCTCTTCTGTTCTTAGACAGTTAAGTTTAAGAGTTAAAGAAAAAGAAAAATGTAGTATAAATGTTTGACTCAGTTAATAATGATCTAAATGAAGTGAAGATTTGTTGTAACTAAGCTTGTGAAGATCTCCTCTCTTGGGTTTTTAGTTAGTAGTGGGTTTCTTTGCTTTATCCTGTAAATGTAGTTCCCCTCCCTTTTTTTCTGTGATAGTTTTGTAGTCCTATTAAAAATAATAAAAAATCCCCTCTGGGGGCTCAAAAAAAAAAAAGGAAAAAGAAAAAAAAGAAAGAAATCAGCTCTTCTGTTGTTTAGGGAAAGGTCTCTTTGTCCCAGTGATCTGGTAAAATGGATTCAGGAGTGTTTGGCAGATTTATTTTTGTAATGACTAGATTCCAATTTTTTTGAACCTTTGGACTGGACCACCAACATCTGACATTTATTCTGTGTAGCTCTTACGTTAAGCAAGATTGGCCACCCCAGGTCTGAAGCAATACAACAAAGTTAGAGTCCAACCAACAAGGTTTTATTTGAGGTGTGAGCTTTTGTGCGCACATGCGCTTCGCCAGACAACGAAATGGAATTACGGATCATACTCGTACATATACAGGGTGGCTCGTTAAATTAGCACGCAAAATAGTGACGTGAGGTTTTTTTAACAGATAAAAAGAATGACGAGTTTGGGATTAGGATGTCTGCCCGACGTGACAGCGTTTTTTTGGTGGGGGAGATAGTGTTAAGTGCCCTCCACACCTGACGGGAGAGAATGAAGATTCCCACTCACTTCAGTTTGGTGAAGTCATGTAGAGCCAGTTTGGTGTAGTGGTTAAGTGCGCGGGCTCTAATCTGGGAGAACCGGGTTCGATTCTCCCACTCCTCCACTTGCACCTGCTGGATGACCTTGGGCGAGCCGTAGTTCTGATAAGAGCTGTCCTTGAAAAAGAGCAGTTTCTGTCAGAGCTTTGCCTACCTCACAGGCGGAAGTACCTCAGAGGCACGCCTACCTCACAGGAAGTGTTCCCTCTAAGCTGAGTTAGTGTGAGCTAGCTCACAGTTTTTTAGCCTCCGGCTCACAGATTTTTGCCTTAGCTCAGGAAGGAGGGCTCCAGAGCAAACTAATTGATGCAGTCGCCAAATCGCTCGCTCACAACTTGAATGCCAGTAGCTCACAAAGTAGAATTTTTGCTCACAAGACTCCACAGCTTAGAGGGAGCATTGCAGTCACAGGGTGTCTGTTGTGGGGAGGGGAATCTGCTAAATCTGCTAGTTTATCTGCTCGTTTGACATATTTATTGCTTTACAACTGTTGACCTTATAGCCTTAACTTGTTATTTAGTGTCGCTTTGCATATCTGGGTCATCAACATGTTCCATGTTAATCTGCTGTTCGTTCTCTGGCTCTGAGTCTGAACCTCGCCAGCCATTCTAATGTGTTTGACAAAGTGCGCATGCACACGAAAACTCATACCTTGAATAAACCTTTGTTGGTCTTAAAGGTGCCCAGCTGGACTCTAAATTCGTTCTACTGCTTCAGATCAACTGGATCTAAGCTTGGTTTCTGGTTATCATGTATTTGGGTTCAACTGGGGGGGGGGCAACATAGGTCATAAATATGTCAGAAGTGGTGATCGATGTACCTCAAATTGTGAGAATCCAGTCACTAGATCCCATCCATCTCCTTTCTAGCATGGAGGCAAACTTTAAAGCATCCTGGCTGTGTATTTTCCTTGTCCCCGGAACAGAGAATTACATTTGAATCTACCATTCCAGATTACATTACTTATTCAATTATATTCTTAATTGTTAAGAGTAGGAAACTGGGTTTTTTTAAAGTAACATTTTGCTTCACTAAAACATGGAGTTAACTGACAGAATACTTTTGCTGGGGTGCAGTGTTATGCCAGAGATCAAAAAAAAAAAAAAATTGCACAGCATTACAATCACTATTATACTATTTTTTAAAAATGGATTAAAATATAGGGGGTGTATAGCCCTTTTTGGTGAGAATACATATGTGAGGATCGAATGAGTAATGGGATATGTAATGGGATAAGAAACCAATATCCCTGTTAAGTCCTGGAGGGGTGTTTGTTCCGAGTCTTGTAATAACTTGTAATTCAGGAATTTCCCTTTCCATTCTATTCCTTGGTTTAAAAAGACAGAAAGAGAGATGATCTGGAATGCACAAATAGACAACATTACAGATCTATGCTTCAAAACCATATCTAGCGTGCGCAAATGGGCTGCCAGGCCACAAACTTAAAAAGAACACTAGATACAGCGTTGAGTTTGAGCGCCAGGGAAACTTCCGCCGCGATCACTTCAGTTTTAGCTGGGAGGGCAATTAATTCTGCCTTCCGAAACTCATTTGAATGCCATCACGTTCTGTGCTGCGGGGAACCCGTTTTAAAACTCTCTGTAACAGCCACATGGGTATGTATTGCCGGAAATCTTGCACTCACCCTCTGAATTTCTCAGCAGAGTGGAGAAAACAGGTTTTCCGTACATGTATGACACACACACACACAAACATGAACGTTTTTTTCTCCACTCTTACACAATGTTCAGCAAATGTCCTTTGCCGAGAACTTCTGGGAATTATGGCCCCTTGGGGGTTGCGGTGGGGAGAGGGGCTTTTCCTAGTGGGTGATTTGATTATTAGGAATATACAGAGAGGGGTCTGTGACCGGCGTTTTTGACCGCATGGTGGTGACTGATCTGCCTGGTGCGAAGGTCGCCTATCGACCTATATCGACAACCTTTCTGAGCTTTTCCATTTAGAAAAGATATGAATGAGAGGGGACATGATAGAGGTGTATAAAATTAGGCACACGATGGAGGGAGGGACCCGAGAACCTCTTCTCCCCCTTCCAAAATACTAGAAGTCCAGGGCACCCAGTGAAGTTGAGAGGCAGTAGATTCAAGGCAGACAAAAGGAAATACTTCTCTACACAGTGAGTGATTAAAATGTGGCATTCACTGCCAGAGGATGTAGTGGTGGCCACAGGCTTGGCTTGGCTTTAAAAGGGGATTAGATAGATTCATGGAGGGTAAGTCTATCAATGGCTACCGGCCATGGTGGCTGAGGGGAACCTCCACATTCAAAGGCACTAAGCAGAGCCAGGAGGCAACATCAGGGGAAGGCCTCGGCCTCTCTGCCCTGTTGTTGCCCATCCAGAGGAACTGGTTAGCCACTGCGTGAGACAAGATGCTGGACTGGAGGGCCCACTGCTCTGATCCGGCAGGGCTCTTCTGGTGTTCTCATAAAGGCCTCGGCCTCTCTGCCTTGTTGTTGGCCCTCCAGAGGAACTGGTTGTCCACTGTGTGAGACAGGGTGCTGGGCTAGATGGACCTCTGGTCTGATCCAGCACGGCTCTTCTGATGTTCTTAAATATCTAATAAATTTTTAAAAATCATAACTATATGTTGAAACTTGGTCAAAGCTCTTGTCATTTGAGATCAGTGTCTTCATTTGGGAATACTGAAAGGAAGGAAGGTATGCCCATGTTCTGTTTCACATTAACTAAAGCTGGAAGTGTCTGTCTTTCTGAAAAGCCGACCAATCATACTCGGGTTGAGTTTTATCATGTCTGGGAATATTCCTGGTGTGAGCTCAACATGATTTAAAGCTCCTCCATACAAAAACCTTCTCTGTGCATATTTAAAAAAATACTAGGGAGAAAAGTTCAAGCCTGGCCGTTTCCTCAACATGATCTATATACTAATACTGAAGTGCCTCCTGGTGTGCGGATAGATAAATCTGCGCACTGGGGGCACCCGGGG